GCTGTAGTGACACAGTGGTATTGATACAAGTCGAGAGATTACAGTAATATTTGTGATGTACGGGTATTATGACAGAGTTACAGGATGTGATCATACCAGTGACACAGTGGTATCGTTACAGGCCGACACATTACCGTGATAACAGTGATGCATGGGTATTTTGGAAGGGTGAGTGAGTGTAGAAGCGACGGGTGCACTTCAACCTGACGGTGACAAATTGGTCCTGGATTAATCAGTGCCTCTGGGTGGAGAGCTCACTCGATCCTACCATTGTCGGGGGCTTTGGGTTAATCCACGTGTCAGGGCGAATAGCAGGGTGCAGGGAAGCCTCGTGGGGCCTAGTCCTCTGGGTGTAACTAGCCAATAGTCTTTGGTTGGGGTTGTTGGGCTGGGCACAGCGCCCACAGTGTCCGTGCAGCTACAGGTGCACTAGATGGGGAAGGGGACAGTTACTGCGGCTGGGCCAGGTATAGTGGTCAGGAGGTGGGGCAAAACGGCTCAGGCTCCTCGTGACTATCGCTAAACGAAAGGAGAGAGGCTGACTGGTTTGAGTTGTATCGACGGTTAGTTCCCTGATAAACCCAAGAGAAATGGCGGTTTAAACTATACAGGTTTGATTTAAACGGTGTACATATCACATACTTCCCCAGATACTGGACTCAACGTCCAAATACAAAATGTTCCCCAATTTAACTACTTCATTTCTGTTCTATTGTTTTTATGTTATATAATTTAGGAAACCAAATTCTCAGTCACTAAAGGACACACTTACTCGTTATTTCTCCCCCACCCCTTCTCTGTTTGTGTGTGTATCTTAGTCTGTGAGTCGCCATTGAGATATACTTCTCTTAGTTTGCTAATGATCAAGTTTGGATGATCACCATAACATCTAATAAATATGGATTGAAATACAACGGCACGTAATGACTGGGTAACTGCAATAGGACTTAAGTGTCATGGCGAGCCACCAGAGGCGTGCAGTCATGGCATCGTTTTGCACAAGGTGCCTCAAAACATGTGTTTGAATGTATCCTGACAGATTCGTTGCACATCCTCCAGGAGAACACGGTAACGTTTCCTTGTAAAAATTATCAAAAGTGAATGTACTTATGGCCCCTCAGCATCAAAGACGTTTGACAACGGAAGGATTGGTAAAAATACACAAGCATGCTTGAACTTGGGTCAACACAACTCCACGTTGTAAGCATCTTTGGTGTCAGCCAAGTGTGAATGGATCTGCATGGACTCGATACTAGACGTTTGGATCAGCTACACAGCGACATGCAGGTGGTCGACAGCGTTCAACCAAACATCGGAGAGACAGGAGCAAGACTTCGTGTCAGCCCCCAAAATTAAATGCAGAACGCCAGCGACGTCAGCACTTGACAGTTTCTATCCGTAAAGCGCGTAGATTTGCGCGCATTTGCATCGACTAGAAATGAGATCCCATGCAGTTTCGTTTGTTTTGGGATGACGATTACGTCAACTGGAAAGACCAATGGAAAGAATTATGGATTCCAACCTAGCCGAAAATGGCCGCTTTGTAAGGGATGCTGTCTTATATTGGGGTATGTAGAGCTGGAAGAACCAATCTCCATTTATTACAGCAGTGCACAATGACACAATGAATTCACCCTAATAAATGATAACCCACGACTTCATTTGCCAGAGTTGTTCATACCAATTAAGGACACGAGGCAATTGTTCGCAAGGAACTTCAAGCCTTGGTCATCAGATCCCAACTTTATCGGCCCTGTTCTTTCGACAACTCTACAGGAACTCGGAACTGCTTTTACAGAAGAGTGGAATCTATCCTTGGCAACCATTCATGCCAGACACGACATGTGAACATCAGACGACGGTGCCAGGTTGTGCCCGGATCACATACATTGTTTTTGTTACATTTCAATTTTGTTCAGATACTACACAGCTAGTACAGAGTGAACTTCAAACATGGAAGGTACACTGCTGAAACACCACATACACAGCATCATGTTCATCACAAAATATCTAAAACGTTATTGAAGACATTGAATTTGAAAGTTAAAAAACTTCGTGAACAAAGTGTTCGCCCGCCAGGTTCAACTCCCCACAAGGGTATCTTGTGTAACCCGCGAAGATCCAGGTTAGAATTGGTCTTCAGCAACCCATGCTTGTCGTAAGAGGCGACTACCGGGACCGGGTGGTCAGGCTCGCTGACTTGGTTGACACATGTCATCGGTTCTCTGTTGCGTAGATCGATGCTCATGCTGTTGATCACTGGATTGTCTGGTCCAGACTCGATTATTTACAGACCGCCGTCGTATAGCTGGAATATTGCTGAGAGCGGCGTTAAACAACATCCAAACCAAACCCGTAAACCCCGTGACAATACTGAAATGTGACGAAATTGATTAAAGTTTAAGCAGTTTATTCCAATAAATTTGTAAAGATATTTGCTGTTGGTATCTGTACATAGACATGTGTCCCACCCTGGTGAACGAAAGTAACGATCTAGCGAACGATTGCCAGCACTATGACGACATCGCCAACGGAGGAATTCAAATACTCGAGTCTGAACTATTGGTTTGCAGCAGTAGCTGTAACGCCGTCATCGACACACAACCGGCCAGAAAACACGCTGTTACCAACCTATCAACATTAAAACCTGTGCATATAAAACACTGCCTAAATATAGCTTTTTTTTCATTTAGGTTTTGTTGTGTCTAAAGTGAAAGACTGGTGACGTATTAGGTGGTAACGTACTTTATATGGGTATCATAGTTGTTTTAGTCCTTAAGACTTTAGTGTTCTAACAACTGTTTACATCCTACTGCTAGTAATGTTTTGAACTTTTAATTTTTGGGGGGTTAAGTCCTATTTTGAATTTCATAACTTTCTACCCGTGGATATTGAATATTAATTAGAATATTGATCATCAGTAACCCATGCTTGTCGTAAGAGGCGACTAATGGGATCGGATAGTCAGGCTCGCTGGCTTGGTTGACACATGTCATCGGTTCCCAATTGCGAAGATCGATGTTCATGCTGTTGATCACTGGATTAATGCTTGTCGTAAGAGGCGACTAATGGGATCGGGTGGTCAGGCTCGCTGGCTTGGTTGACACATGTCATCGGTTCCCAATTGCGAAGATCGATGTTCATGCTGTTGATCACTGGAATATTTCGATTATTTACAGACCGCCGCCATATAGCTGGAATATTGCTGAGTGCGGCGTAAAACTAGACTCACTTACACACTCAAAACTTTATTTCCTGCCTGTTTATGATACATATGTGGCCATAAACGATTTCTACATTTCCCCCAAATCAAAGTTATAGGTTGTTTTCTGTTGTTTCAGCAATAATTTTAAAAAGAGATAGAATAAGATGGAATAAGATGGAATCAGCGTTGCCACGAAGAAATCTTCTAGGAAAACTCAAACCAGGGATTCCCCTGAAAATATATTACCATTTCCTCGCTCTTGAGAAAAATAATTAGATAGAAATATTGCATGTGTTTCGCGAATATGCCGTTTTTTAATGCATTCGTCCAATGTCTTTTCTGGTTGTGGTTTATAAGATGACAATTATCGTCGTTCTTTTCCAAACTTTAAACAAAGACAAACTGTTTAATTGCTATTATTCAGATGTTCTTATGTTTCTGCTGATGGGTAATGTATTCAGTTGGTATTATCAGTCGCGCGGCTCACCAAAATTGTCCAAACAAAAGAAAAACTAATTGCATTGTGAGAGTTTTAAAATCGAACTTGACCCCACGGGGTCACTATCGCTTGTGAGACATCTTCCTGTTGTGCGTTGTTTCATTAGATGACGTCAGTGAACACAGTAGTATATTATATTGACAGCTGCGTGTCACACGACATGTCCACTGCATGCTGACTACCTTATTAGAGCCAGGGAAGTTTATCGAGTGCAGGAAAGACTTACAGGGAAAATAGAAACACACAAAGTGACAGAAAACAAGTAAAGGAAAACTTGACAGAACTATATTCAAATTATAACTGTCAATCAGTTAATAGACATAGAATATGTCTAATATTCTATATACCATACTTACATAAATGATTTCAAGAAGCTTCTTTATGTAGTTAATTAGTTAAGTACATTGCTCATAATTAGGTAAACAATAAGTCCTTGAGTTAATTAACTGTCACATGCTATACAAACCATTTTAAAAATATTTTTGATGTCTAAAAACGTAAAATTATTGTAAAATTGTTTTTAGTACGGTCCAAATTTGGTATTTTAGGCGATTTGATCTTGTTTCATCTGTTAATTGCTCCTCGCGAAACTAGCAGAGGAACTGGTATACAGAACATTCTACTGCTGAGCGATGACATCAATAACACGGGAGTTCTTAAGAACAACAAATTGAGAAAAGATAAGAAATATGGATAAACAAGCTTCTATATTACAATATAGACAACGTCTCGGTGTAGGTTCAAGCATCGTTATCACTAGCTCAGAGCCTACACCGAAACCTGGTTCCTATTGTGAATAAAGACGTTGTTTGTCCATATATTCTTATCCTTGCTTAGTACTCCAATCTCTAAATGCCTCTCAAAGGAAATAATAACTCATCCTATTTAAAATAGCTGTGAATTGTTTCCTGTGTTTTTTCCAAGGCATATTTGTTACTTTTTCCTGTCGTTTGTCTGTGACTTTCTTTGCGATCACCACCTTATCGTCTCATTTGAAGAGCAAACAGTTAACGTATGACATAAAGGGCCGGGCAGCGTGTTGTTAGTATTGCAGCGTCTCCATGTGCTATCACACCTCTCTTAGTCTAGATAAGCTACCTTCTGTACGTAATGGTTGACGAGGCAACACATATCGGGGGAAAAGTCGAGAGGGGTTGATAGGACTCAACAATTTGGGTGCGTTGTAGACTCTGATATTCAGACATGATGCAGTAGTATCTTTGTATGATCTGCAGGGTTCACGCTGATAAATAACCTAGTCTGGTTGATTTGGGATCACTGTACATAGTTTACAAGCATATTATCCTGTGATGTATGTCGGTAGGGTGTTCATTGTAATCATTGGAGATAATTCTGTCTTGGGTCAAATAATACTTGTGAAGAAAACGCCACGTCATTAAAACCAGTGGACGCAAGGCGTTATCTGAGTGGGGCTGAATGAGAAAGAACGTCACGCTCAAGTTCCAGACCACATCACAGTCTCCAAGTAAACGGTGTCACAGTCACGTCGGAGAAAGAAGGACCAGATTTGATGTAGAACACGGAGGTTTTGTAACTGTGCTGTGACAGCGGTGAGGAGTTTGTACTGTGGTCCAGTGGTAGATGTGTGTTAAGGTCATCTGCTAACACACCAAGTCTCTGCATTCCAAAGAAACAGAAAGTGCCGAGACGCTATCAGCTGCACCCGAGCTTGTAACCACACATGTAGCCAATATCGGAATGTCTGTCCTGACGACGAAACAATGTCATCCCGTGTTGTTTATCAGCCCTTACTTCCTCCCATGTAATCAGTTTGGGTGATCCAGTCGGCGACCAACGCTCACCCTCAGCCCCCACCCCGGTATACAACGTTGTCCTGACCGTCGGACTGTCCGCCCGGACCACCATGTGACCGCCAGACGGTGAGAATTGATTCCTGGAAGCAAACGTCTTCAACTTGTGGTCACACTTGAACACTCATTACGATGGAAGGGCACAGCACGTTCTACACCCAGTCCCTCTACTCCCGGGACAGCTACAACACCGTTCCAGCCGCCGTAGGGGGATACCCAAACACTGGTCATGCCCCTCCAGCTTGTATATACGCCCGGAATTCACCCCAGGGAGGATATGGGGGTCAGGCGATGGCTGTGGTCGAGCAGTCCCACCTACAGAATGACTCCCCCACGGGTCTCTCACATCAACTTTCATCTCAAGGGATACAGACTTCCATGAACAATCCGGCCCCTGCCCACATGCCGAACAGTAACCTTCCCAGCTCCCCTGTATCCCAACCCAACCAGCCTCCCCCTGCCCACTCACAAGCACAGGGCCCCACCCCACAACCCGCACCCTCCGGCGGGGGACAAAACAGCTTACAGTTTCCGTGGATGAAGACCACGAAATCTCACGCTCACCAATGGAAGGCTCAATGGGCAGGTAGGCCATCTCTTTCACAATGGACATGTGTGTTTACACTGATATATCATGTCGTTTTCATGGAGCATAGCTCGGCTTCTATAAACATGGGATTATACACTTGATTAATGTAAGAAGTGTATGATCAGCAAGTCTGTTGACCCACGGTGATTTATAAGGAGTAATATGATAGTGGAATTACATGACGACATCAAGAGTGGTGTCAACTATTTACAGCCAATCTATTAGTCTTTCAAAATTTATTTGTAGCGTTTACGTTTTGAAATAAGTTTGTTTAAATGTTTAAAGGAGGAAATATATTACTTTAGCTGCTCGTTTTATTATCTATAATTAATATAAAATTATAAAGGACAAGAATATGGTTAAAACAACTTGGAGCAACTATTTAGCTGCTTTAACCCTCTTTTGACTTACCTTGGCATTCGTCGATATGTATTTTTAAAGTCTTAAAGTCGAGATGTTAGTCGCCTGTTTTAAGTTCCATTATATAAGTATGTCCATATACTCCCAATTCCAGCAGTATGACGTGAGATATATCCAAACATTGGACTAATAGCTGTGTGGAACCAAGTCATGATTTACTCACGTCTAGTCCTGGTGTTGACACACAGAAAACCGTTATTCCGCAATTCTTTCAGAATAACACGGTGATGTCGTTAGTATGGGGTGATGAACGACAAAATCTACCCACAGGCTGTTTTAACTTGAGTAAAAACATATATCCTTTAACAAGGCGAAATTGCTCTCCCTAACGTGGTAGTGGTCAGGAAGGCTTCCACTGACGACTGAACGGGCAACTTTCCATTTTATATAGCCCCGTGATAAATGTGAATATTTGTAATTACCGTTATTCGCAGTGTAAACCCGCGCAGAAACAATTTATCTTTGGTCTCTCACTCATCTTGATTAAAAAATGATTAGCGGGAGCGTTGTGCGATCTAACTCGGGGGAGTCGCCATGCAATGTTCACTCTGGCGAAGAAGGGCTAGGGAGAGAGCGGCTAGCGTAGTCATGGACAGGGGGTGACGGGGGAAGGGGGCAGGGCAATGACAAGGACATCATATTTAATATGAATATTTGTTCGTGTTATGGTTTACCGAGTCTCTGATTTTCATAAAACAATAAGCTGTGAAGTGAAAGTGGTGGTATTTTTCATATTGAATGGCCATCATCTCATTTACAAAGGCGGTGTCAACCGACGATTCACTGTTTTCGAGCCAATGATGTCGTTTACAGTGGACTATAGATACATATAATTATAATGAATGTCATTATATCTCACTTAAACTTCCATAATAATCTAGAAACTTGACGTGGTCCTTATAGATAGCCAACATTTGTCTTTCCTTAATAATTATGAAAATATAGTTTGTAAATGAAATATATTAATTCATTGCAAACAATTATATTGAATTAGTTCACCAAACGTTTACATAAAAATACAATTTCGTTTTCAATTCTAGCAGCCCTGGGGGTCAGACGTTACATAGCATGTATGTCTATTTTTCTGGGATGATTATTTGTCACTTGATTCGTTGGTCAGGTTTCACGAATTGATATAAAATTAACATATTCTGAATATTCTAAACATAAAACACTCAGAATAATCATCCTCAGTTATCTGCCGTAACAGATTCAGTTGGCGCAAAGCAACATTTAGGTGGATAGTATATCAATGGAGAAGTGAGAGTCGGTTTTGACACCAGGTGTTCGCCAAATGAGTACAGCCTGTCAATTGACGACAAGGGAAGAGGGAAATGTTTTCAAATCCGTACGTGCTAAACACGTGTTTCAGAACGCTATGTAAATATAGAGACCAATAGTTGTCTTATAAGGTAATCTTGAAATTTCCTCATTTGATTTTATCAATATAGTCTAGGATACCAGATAAGAAAACTGCGTCTATTTCAATTCACATTTAAATCGATACGAAAGAACACGAATGTCCTATTCGTCTTGAAAGTAATACATGTATTTTATTTTCACAGGATAAGTTAGAAATAACTGATGAGAAATGCACTCTCAAGCGCTTGATTACATAACTTCTCATGAGTTGACGCTGAACATAAACATATTAATAATTCATAGTAATGAAATAACACCTAGCGTCACCGTCAATAGTAGCGACATATAGGGGCAGTCCTATGGCGGTCTAATGACAGTGGTGTTTGTGGACATGTATATCTTTCACATCTCAGTTATTGACACAAAACCCGATAGTCCATTCCTAGTAAACTGTAAAAAATAATAAGATAAACTGTTTATACAATTCTGAAAATGTCGTAAATTATGCAGTTACAATTATCGTCTCTTTAAGATATATAAGCACAATATTCGGATTAACATTCGTAATCATCAGCAGCAGCTATCATGCTATTTGTTGATGGAATAAAGGAAAACCGATTAAAACAGTAAATGTTTGATCAACCTGAGTTAATCAAGAATTACCTCCATGGAGCTTGAGATTCGGAATAAAATTGGATTCCACGTAACCCATGTCGGTAGCTTGTTAGTGTTGTGTTATTGCACGTGGCGTATATCACTCATAACATCAACCATTCGTTTTTCCATCTAGGCAACATCAGTTACAGGATGACGTCATGAGAATATGGGAATGTGGACACAACAGACGCTAATAAGACTGTCAGTTATGAGAATATTTCGTTACATATACAAACCAATTAATTGTTACACAAATAAAATTTGTAATAGTGAGTCAATATATAGATAAGTGTTACATGATAGTTCACATTATTTACCAATTGTGGTAAAGTTTACGACAGATAGCAACCACCAAAGTGTAGTGAATAAAGTTCACACCTGTACAGGTGAGTGATTGATTAATACCCGAGTGATCAATACACTACTTGCTGTTCTATCTGTCGGTGTATACATCAATACCCACTCTACTCAGTGTCACCCAGTGTCCACAAACTGTCGTGGGTGAAGGCTGAAGGATCAACAAACGGTACACGTTGGAACAGATTTATATGCTCAGTATTTACAGTTACATAATCCACCTTCCACATAAATAACGCCGATGTGAGAGTGAAAATCGAAATCAGGGGTGTCTCTTTCCTAGCCGATTGTAGTTTTCACTCAGAACTGAGATACGACTCATAAAATTAGCACTCCGGGACTATCCTACGTTTTTGCAGATGTCATCAATGCTCTTAATGCGGACCAACTGATCCGTTAAACCCTGCATCATTATTTCAAATGTTTAAGTGAAGAAAACAAAATCTTTCTCTATAAACTCCCCTGATTAGTAGTAAAATCAAACAACTGGAATCTATGTTGTATGTGTGTATGGTGTTATTGTAATGATGACATGTTATATATGCCTTGTGTGTCTCATGGGCAATATTGCCTGACATTGTATGCATTTAATGAAAATACTTATTGCCATACTTGTATATGACATACAATGTATGACAGGTTAGCAAAATAACTTTCTTCTTCAATGAACCTAAAGGCTATAATACTATAGGGTTTTGTCTTGGGTAATGTTCCCAGAAAACCCTTTGGTTTCAGGCCTGACTTTACGCAATAATACTTTCTGTTCATTCGAGAGAAAAAAACAACTTTGACACAAAACATTATCCTTACCAGGGTCGGGTCGTGTTTCTTTGCCAATACATGTAATGTGTGCATTTATATTACGCTGAACTCCATTCACTAGGTAAATACTCATAGCGCTAACAATCAAAACACAGCACATTACTGAGTGCTCAAGTTTTAGTCAAATTGTTTCCACATTTTCTCCATTTCCTTTACATTGATGTGATAAAATGCTTAAAATACTTTATAAAATATATAAGAGCGATGGAATATATGAATCGAGGGGCTTTTGTCAGGGGTGCTCAAATTAGTGAGGGGCTTTTGTCCAGAGGGGCTTTTGTCCAGAGGGGCTTTTGTACCAAGGGGCTTTTTGCCGGTACCCCACATTATTACCCCGGAAAACCCAAGCTACCCATTTTCTGCTAGGTGAACAGAAATAATTGAAAAATCAAACATAGATATAATGCATTATAAACATACACATAAACAGATGCACGATATGAGATATATCTGTGGCAGATGGGATAGTGACATATGCTATGTCCATGTTTTAGGCGAAGAAGTCACGTTTTCAAATTGTTATACAATGTTCTTGTTCATGTCTGTTAGTATTATCATGTGCATGAGACATTTGACACATGTCATAACGCCGTCGATCTTAGTCTTATGATCAAGACAATATAGACAGATAATGATAATAATGATAATCAGTATGTCAGCGTGTATGTCTTGTGTATATTTCTGGCACAGTAATACATGTATATCAGCTTGAAGTCTTCACGTTCTTGTATAACTGAATGTTCTGTCAAGTAATTTGCTACGTCAAAACGGAAGGGAGGTACGCCGCCATATTTGTTAAGATTTCACGATGTAATCGGGGAATTAGGTTCCTAGCGAAATCGAACACTGGATTTTCTGGTCAAGACTCGATAATTTACACGCGGGTTACATTGTTGGAATATTGCTGAAAACAAGCTAATCTCATAAAACTTGCATCTATGTCATATCTGATATTTTCATCTTCATTGACGTAAGTTTCGCCTATTTTCAAATGTTACATAGTGGTGGGTAGCCTGGCCGTTACAATGGTCGCTGTGACTTCCTTGCTGGTGCCTACCGTCGTACTACCTCACTCACTAGCTCACATATTAAGTATTAACATTACAGTTTCTTACATCATATTATACATCATTTCTGTTTCTAATTTATTACACGTTTTAATATGGCATAATTAATATGAACAACGTATCATATGCTTTCATAACCTCATCTCTAATATTAAATATTTTCATATTTTCATATGAAATGTATAATATGAACTTATCATGCGTTTTAGACTTAGCATGTGTTTATGACGGGTGCCACCGGTGGGGCAGGATACGCTCACCCTTTCGCGAACACCTAGTATCATCACTATTTCATAGTGATTCATAAACACA